TCTTCTGCACTGTGCTGTGTCTGTAATTGGCCTTGCGGCTGTTGACTCGGCACATTAATAATAAAGAATTGAATTGAATTGAATTGAATTAAATACAATGGCTTATCCCTAAACTTGAGGAAAACTAAACTGTTAAAATTTGAATCAATCAATCGTGACAATATGCCTGTACATTAAAAGGCATGTTATGCAGTATGAATTATGAAAACATACAGTAATGTTACAACACTTAAAATGATATATCAGGCATACTTTTATTCACTCATGAGGTATGGAATAGTTTTTTTGCGGTAATTCGTCAAGAGGCCAAGAAGATCTTTCTCTTACAAAAGAAGACTATTAGAATAATAATGGGGATGAAACATAGAGAGTCATGTAGGCCAGCATTTATAAAGTTAAATATATTAACATTGGTCTCTCAATATATTTTATCTCTGATGACTTTTATGATAAATAACTTGGAGTATTTTACTTTTAATTATTCAATTTATGAGAGACCAACAAGACACGAAAGAAATTTACATGTCCTCAATTCAGTTCAATTCAATTTATTTTTTTGTTTATCAAATCTACATTTGGCAATGGCGCCACCAGATATAGAACACGTCCAAGCCCTAGTTACAATAAAATCAATCCAGAGGACAACGTCATTAAGATATTACATCATCCACAACCATTGTTGCAATAACTGATGATACAATGCTATAACTAAACACAGCATGCATATAACACTTGGACTGCAACTTATTATCATAACAAAATACATATCAACATTGTCAACAGAGCAAAATCATATCCAAAGAGTTATGGGCATCTTACAATAAAAAAAATGACTAGTGTAGTTTTATTTATCAGTAATCAGCACAAACATCTCTTATTTTCCATTCATAACACTCACCTAAAAAATAAAAAGAGCCCACATACAATTAAATAATTAAATACAACATGCATGTAACTTGCACTGCAACTTATTAGCACAATAAAATACTTTTATTTATTTATTTATTTATTTATTTATT